TGCTGCAGCTGCAGCAGCAGCGCCAGCAGCAGCAGCAGCAGCAGCAGCAGCGAAGGGTTCTGGAGCAGCAGAAGCGTCGCCCGCGACTCAAGCAGCAGCGTCCCAAACCCCAGCAGCGCTGCCGCAGGCCGCAACAGCAGCAGCAGCAGCAGCAGGACAGGCAGCAGCAGCCTTGAGGCAGCTCCCAGTGCACCAGCAAGCGCAGAGGCTGCGGAGGCAGCTGCAGCATCTGCAGCAAAAGGAGCTGCAGCGGTTTTTTGCCCTATCGCAGCAGCAGCCCCTTCAGAAGCAGCAGCAACTTGCTGCTGCAGCTGTTGCGGCGGCTGCAGCTACTGTCTCGGGCGCAGCCAACTCGGCGCCGGCCGCGCAGCAGCAGCAGCCTGCAGCAACACAGGCTGCTGCTGCAGCAGCAGCAGCAGCTGCTGCTGCTTCTTGGCCCCACCCAAACCATTTGAAGCCTCAGCAGGGGAGCTTCCCTTCGGGGTTTTTGCTGCAGCAAATTCTGCAGCTGGAGTCGCAGCAGCGGCGGCAGCAAGAAGCTGTGGAGAGCGGCGCATGCATGCCAGCAGCGCAGCAGCAGCAGCAGCAGCAACTGCTGCAGCGCCACAGACAGCAGTTGCTGCAGCAAAAGCTGCTGCTGCAGCAAGCAAGCTGCAACCCTCAGCAGCTTCTCATGCTCTCTGGACGGGCGCACTTATTTGCCCAAATGAAGGCAGCGATGAATGCTGCAGCAGCAAAGGCTGCTGTGGCATCTCTGCAGCAGAACCAGCAGCAGCAGCAGCAGCAGCAAAAGCTCTTGCAGCGGCATCTGCAGGGACTCCAAGGCCGTCTCCAGCCGACGGCAGTTGCTGCTGCGCTACAACCTGCAGCAGCAGCAACCTGCGCTCCGAACCCAGCTGCACAGCAGGTAGCAGCAGACCAGCAGCAGCTGCAGCAGCAGCAGCAGCACGTGGAGCCCGAAGCTGCAGCAGCGGAGGTTCCCGTTGCTGCAACAGCAACCGAAGGAACTGAGAAAGAGAGGATCGGGGATCTGCAGCAACCGCAAACGCAGCAGCAGCCGCAGCCACAGGAGCAGCAGCAGCAAGAGCAGCAGCAGCAGCAGCCACAGGGTTTGTTGTCTGCTGCCACGCCTTGTGGGCCGCTTTTGCTGCAGGCAGCAGCTGCAAAGCCGGCTGCAGCAGGAGGCTTCAT